ATTTGATAGCCTATCTTGTCATAATTAGTATTTCAAATTCTCCTGTTCTGTTGGAATTGCGCGTTTTGATTAGTTCAGTTGGATCTGGTATATGCTCTGGGGTATGTTTCTGTTGGATGAAGCTATAGAGCCAGTTCAGCATTCTCCATTGATATTTAGATTTTATGTTAATTTCCTTCTGCTGATAAATATTGTCGGTAACTTGTAGGGAGTCTCTCCAATGGACTGTAACTTCCCTCCCACAGTTGCACCCGTCGTCTGGCCAGAAATCCCGCAGAATGCAAACAGACAACAATATCAGCAACCGTGGCAATTCGATGCATTCCACCACCAGCCCATTTGGGGCAGGGAAGAAGACAACACTAATTTTATGACTCCAGAAAACTCACTCTTGAGTTATGACTCATCGGCTAATTCAGGTACATCAGACTTAAGCTTCTATCTCACCCTTTCCTCCCAGAAGTCCCATTCAACAAAAAAATGCATTTAATTTCATCATGGCACTCGGCTTCTAAATAAACTAGAACTAGAAATGTACCCGCGCGTTGCGTGAATGTTAACCCTTTTAAAAAATTTCGGTAGACATCTAAACAAAATAATGAGGACAAACTTCACCTAATAGAATACGACTAACTCCATAAAAAATAGGCTCGTCAACAATCTTTTCTAGAAAACCTTGACCAACTTTTATAGAGAAATAGTCTTGGTCTATATCAACCAAACACATTGATAATATTCTCATAAATGTGAAAGAGAAAAATGTAAATTCTTTGATTGTGAGCAGGCCAATTACCCCCTTAAATTTATATAATTCAAATTCTTTGAAAATTTCTTATCTAAATAACATCTTTTACATAGCATTTCAAATTTTTTCCAAAAATAAAATTTTCTAATATTATAAGAATAGACATTCACATATTTGTTTTTGAAAGGATATAACTTAGGACTCATTTTGTCAATGGGTCACAACCTCTTTCACATTTCTTTCTAAACCCATTAAACTAATGATTTTTTAATTTTTTTTTTGAAACAGTTTAACATTTATTATTATGGCAGAAAAAAAATCTATAAATTTTGTTTTGGACAATGATTTTCTCACTATTACCTCCGTAAGCACCACTAGCATCGGTACTGTAACGTCGTCGTTTTACCACTATCATTAGTTTCATCATCACCTACACTCTGTCATTTTAATCATTATTTTGACATATTACCATCGTAGACCGTTGATGTTATTTTGTTACAATTATCATTGTCGATACTACTATTATAATCGACACCTTCACCATTGTCATTGTGTTACCACTGATATGCTACTGTCCCCTACAAGTAACCTTATTGCATTAGTCATTACCATATTGTCATTACACCATTACCATAAGACCAACACTTTCATCATTTACCACAATTGTTCTTGTCACTCCATACTAATGCAGTTCTAGTTTTTGACATCGCCAACACCATACAAACATAATTTTAACCAAATAAGATTTTTCTTTTTACTGTTTCAATATGAATCTATAAACTAAAAATTGAAAGTTTAAAAGGCAAAAACCATCCTACGCTAAAAATCTTTTTAAAAGCTGAAAACTGGTTGTAGGTTTTAATTTTTTTTAAACTCAACTAAAAGACGAGTCTCAATAATGCCCTTGTGTGGTGTGTGTTTGTCTCTGTGTAGAGAGAGAATCCTCTCAATTATGATTTCACAACTTGCATTTGGATCTTGAATTGCTTTTAATAGGCGCAAATGAGTTGGGAAACCATACAAGGGACAATTAAGAACTCTATTTCATGGTACGAGGCCTTGATTGAGGACTCTAGTGGCAGGTAAAATAAATAAGAATTTTAAATTTTCTTTCATTCAATGAGCAATTTAAAGGGTAACCAGTTTCTAACAGAATGCACAATAGGCTTAAAATTATAATGGATGTTGTATTACCATTAGAATTAGTAATGAGTAACTAATATAATTTGAATGTGTTTAATAAAAACACGGATTATTGATTAGTTAATAATTTTAGTTAATTATAAAACAATAAATGTAAAATTAAAATTCTAAAGTAATAGAACAAACGGAAGTGGAATTATAGTCATGACAACATATTGTTTTTGTAACTCATTTTACATATTATAAATAGATAAATGTTGTATTTTCTAGGGAACATACTGATGCTGTAAAGCATAAATGAATCATAAATAACTCAACCCAAGTTAACTTGTCATAAAATTGTTATAAATTGCTCAAAAGGAATTAGTTTGCATTACAACAACAAATATGTTATTAAATTTTTAGGCACTCTGCAATTTTATCCTGGTAAGTTACTTTTGAATCTGAATGGAACAATTTAAAATTTGTGATACAGTATCTCTGCATTCAAATCAGTTGAAGATGGAACTCTGAAGGGGTACAGAGGTGGTGGCACCAGTAGCAATTAGTGTATATAACAAATATAGTATTAGCAATTAGCCGTGATTTGAGCAGCCTCAACATTCAGCAGGGTTTCCTTGTCTTCTATTTTGTCAGAGTCAGTTGGAAACCTGGAATTTATTCAGCCAGCAAGGAAGAAGAATTGTTAATCTATTTTTATAAAATATATTAGTATCACTATTTATACTAACTACAGGGGTCATTCAATCTATGCTGTGATTGATTGATTCAGATTGTAAAATCATTGACTGGACTATTAGTGAACTATCATGGAAGTTTGTTGCTATGTTCATTGAATGCTACTTGATGGTTTGGTTCTTTTTCATGATTTTTCTGAACAAAATACTGGCAATTTTTCATTTCTATCACAGAGAAATGAATATTGTTATCTTTATTGAGTTTAATTTACTTGAAGTTGATAACAAAATCTTATTACAACTTTCTAATTCAACTGGAACTTAGAGATAAATTTTACTTGTACGTGGATGTGAAGAAAATTCGTGAATATGTTGACATCATAGAAGATGAAGGTTAGTTAGAGATTTCAACTAAATTCCAAAGACACTTTTATGTGTTTTACCATATTGACTTGGCTACTGACGTGAATTTCTGCTGTTCAAATTGGTCCCCGTAGGTTAAAATGAACAGGTCATGATGATGCGCTCTGCATTATCTTCTGCATTATTTCTATTTCAGCCACAAGCTTTTCAGGTGCAAGTAATTGCTGATGTTATATTTAAAGGACAATTTATTTTTATTGGACTTTCTGAAAGATAATATTTAGTTCTGCATCCATTTAGGGATGATAAATTTAAGGAGGATGTAGCATAAATTGATCTATTTTCAATTTTCTGGTTTTCTTTGTTCTTCTAGATGCTGTCCTACTCTAAAAGTGCGACATGATAAGAGGAACTAGATCATGTTTCTTCCATAATGCTGTCTCCTTTAATTGTTCTTCAAAAGCATTAGCCTTCTTCTATGTTCAGTGCCTAGTGCCTAGAGTTGTGTGGTGTTACGCTGTCTTGTGATATAAACTATCATGTGGGGAGACAGATCCATGGAAGAGGCCATTTTAGAGTGGTGCAAAGTTTTGTTAAAGATGATTTTGTTTCAACTATGATACTCTATTCTTAGAAATGTATATGGTTTTTTATTATTTTTTTACCTGGGAATACGCGTTATAGTAACCAAAGGAAACTTGTTGCAGTGAAGAAAGTAGCTCAGACTTTTGTACCTAATGATCAATCCCAGACACAATGTAAAAGGCGTTGTGGTTCGTTACCACAGCTAAGACAGACAGCATGAGCATTGCCTGATAAATGCCGATGAAATCTATAGCATTTTGTTGGCATCAACGTGCAACTTGCAACAGCAGCTCTAACAAAACTAACATGGCATTCTCTGGAACATTTAAATTCCAGAGAAGCAGTACCAAGAATCTTTTATTGGTCCAAGATCATTTATTTAGGACATGTTTGGCTACAAACTAAAAATGTTCGAGATTTTTCTTTTAAAAATATAGTCTACACTCAGACACAGTACCATATAGCCGAACTAGCAGTAGCAGCTTTTAATGGATCTCTTACAGTCACGGTGACAGTTATTATTATCCAAGATCATAGGAAAACACGGGGCCTGTGATTCTCGTTTCAAAGTCAGTCACAACTAATTTTGAACGGAATTTACTAAAATGGATTTAAAAAAGATTACAAAAATAGGTGACTCATACTTCGTAAGTAGAACATCAAAGCCATGAAATCATCAGTGAAAGGATGATTTTAGATTAATCAAGCAGAAATTAAATTTTCAGTGTACGCATTCTTCATTACATTTTTATTTTAAACAATGTGTTGGAAGGAAGATTTCTCTGTGTTTTTTTTTTAAATTAGTGCTTGTACGAGATTACGTTAATTATTTTTGTTTTTGAAAGTTGTTTAATTATATCTATGTTTTTTTTACTTTATATTTTTTATTTTCTTTTTTAATTTTGTTACGTGTTGTTTAATTTTTGTTTGATGTGAATATTTCCTTTTCAGCTGTTATTTTTGTAGATAATTTAGTTAATAAATTAAACTTTCAATATTATGAGAATGTAATTTGAGAAAAAAAAAATAAAGAGGGTTTTTGTTCGTAAAACAATTGCAAATTAATAAGAAAACAAATATTATAATATATGATTTTTGTTCTTTATATGAACACTTTTTTGTTATTATGACCTTCATTCTAATAATAATAATAATAGTTTTTTATTTTATAGTAGATGATTTATCTGTTTTGTTGTAGATTGATAACTATTATTTTCTAACAAGATGAAATTGATTTTCATAAACATTGTAAATTGTTTGTAAGTTTGTTTTTAATATTTTTTTCGTTGAAGGATTCAAAATTATTGCAAAAATATGGTAGTTGAAATATATGTTTCTTACTATTTGAAATGCATCACACCTCAATTATTCTTATGCATTATAAATAATGGGATAAAGAAATGACTATAATATGAAAAAATGGGATGAAAACACATTATATCTAACTTGAAAAAATTAAAAATCTCCCGGTTGAAGAGACAATTAACTATAGAAAGGAAAGTTTTCTTCTTCTTGATTTTCATTCTTTGAAAAATGACTTTTATTCTCATCATATGTAAAATCAGCATAAGAGTGAACAATTTTGTTGCTTTTCATGTAGTTCCTCTCTGAGTCTCAACTTCACAATAATCAAACAAAATCCATTTCACTTTCATTCAAAATAATTCCTTTGTTTTCTCGTACTCTTCATGTCCCTCTCAAACACATTTGTTTGCCACTTCGTCTTCTTCACACCCATCACTTGAAACGTCCCCAGCACAATGCCTTTACTCTTGTAAACTCATGCCATGCACTAAACACAGTGATGTGGAACTCGATCATGAGGTCCCATGTTGATTTGGGACTGTTCCATTCAGTTTTGTCAGTGTACAAAAAGATGAGGCAAAAGGGTGTTCCCCATGATACTTTCACATTCCCGTTATTGAACCGAGCCCTGTCTTCCATGAGGGCTGATGTTGTGTATGGGAAAATGATCCACTGTGTGGCAACTAAAATGGGTTTGGATGGGGATTTGTATTTTTGCAATACCATGATTGATGTTTATGTGAAATGTGGGTGCATTGCTTGTGCTCGCCGGATGTTTGATGAAATTTCACTGAGAGATGTGGTTTCTTGGACTTTGATGATTGCTGGTTATGTTTCCCAGAGACTTGTTAGTGTGGCTTTTCGTCTGTTTAACAAGATGAGGATGGAATTGGAACCAAACTCGGTCACACTTATTGTGATGTTGCAGGCACCTTGTGCTTCCATAAAATTAAGTGAGGGAACTCAAATACATGGGTATGCACTGAAGAGTGGGTTGCTAATGGATTGGTCTGTGAAAAATTCCGTTTTGAGAATGTATGGTAGTAAAGGGGGTACCAGAGAAGTGGAACTTTTATTTGGTGAAGTAAACATGAAGGATGTGGTTTCTTGGAATATTTTGATTTCCTTTTACTCCTCAGAAGGAGACGCAACAAGAGTGGCAGGTCTGCTCAAAGCAATGCAGAGCCTAGAAGTGCATGTGTGGAACATTGAAACTTTGACATTAGTTACATCGGCATTTGCAAAGTCTGGTAGTCTTTCAGAGGGCGAAGGTGTGCACTGCTTAGTCGTTAAAACTGGGTTTTCTGATGACGTTTGGCTGACATCTCTGCTTGACTTTTATGCCAAGTGTGGGAAATTGGAAACTTCAGTTTTACTTTTTAGTGAAATCCATTCTAAAAGTAATATCACTTGGTGTGCTATGATGTCAGGTTTCATTCAGAATGGCTCTTTTATGGAGGCCATAGTTTTATTCCAACGAATGCAAGCTGAATATTTTAATGTTGTTCCTGAAATTTGGAGAAATCTTCTGGATGCATATGCAAACCTGGGAGCTTTAAAATTGGGAAAAGAGGTCCATGGTTACCTTATAAAGAACTTGTTTAATGGGGCAATAGAAAATTCAGTACACCTTGAGACCTCTATCTTAAACATGTACTTAAGAGGTGGTAGCATGTCTTCTGCTAAAACATGTTTTGATATGATGTCTGTCAAAGATGTAGTAGCATGGACAACAATGATTGACGGACTTGGCTCCCATGGTTTTGGCTTTGACGCCTTGAAGTATTTTAATTTAATGATTGAGCAAAGAGTGCAGCCAAACTCAGTCACCTTTTTGAGCTTACTCTCCGCATGTAGCCACTCTGGTCTTGTCAGTGAAGGCTGCAATATTTACCATTCTATGAAATGGGGATTTGGAATTGAACCTACTTTGGATCACCACACCTGCATTGTGGATCTTTTTGGTCGATGTGGGATGCTTAAAGAGGCCTTAGCCATAATATTCAAAATGGTAATTCTACCTGATAGCAAGATTTGGAGTGCTCTTCTGGCAGCTTCCAGAGTTTATGGAAATAAAAAATTCGGAGAATATGCAGCTCAAAGACTTTTGGAACTAGAACCTGACAATGCTGGATATTATACTCTGTTGAGTAATGTAAAAGCAAGTGTTGGAAGATGGGAGGAGGTTGAAAAACTGAGGAGAGACATGAGAGAAAGGGATCTCAAGAAAAAACCAGGGTGGAGCTGCATTGAGGTAGCTGGGTCCATCCGCGGATTTGTTTCTAGTGATAAATCACACCCTGAAGCAGAGGAGATTTATGAGGCATTGGGTAGACTGAGTATAGTGACACAGGATTTACGGTAGTTGAAAGGGGTGTTTAAACGAACTTCTTGGCTCATACAAGCTACATTCAAACTACTCTCAGACAAAGCAAACTAAGCCAAATCCTAGTTCTTCAGTGGAGAAAATTTTATCTGTCTCGTCTGGCAGAACACTTGGGAAAGGGACAAGGAAGCCTCACATGAAAGGAAGGGAAATGGATATGCAACAAACTAACTGTGGCATTGTATAAAAAGTTTACCCTTCATTCATAAGAATTAATTCTGTCCTCTTTATTAGTTACTAGCAATATATTGCATTTATCAATAAGTTCTCACCTGTTAGCAAGCATTCCTTTCATGTTGCAGCAAAATCATACACCCTCCCCTCTTAAGAAACAGTGATATTCCTTAGTTGTGTTTGATTTCATAGCATCATTGTTTTTTGTTTCCTGTTAAACCTGGTGGATCTTTTTACTACAGACCAGGATGCTAAGAATTGGTGAAACACAGAACTGCAAGCACAATTTTGGACAACAATGAAGGTCTTATGTAAAAATGACATCATCAAAGGGATGTAAATCAGATAAATAATCCCTTGAAACTCAGGCCTTCTACCTAAATAATAACTCTCAGTTTTTCATTCTAGTTTGAATTCTAGAGGAAAATAGATTGAAATCCCGGAACTGGCATCATTAAGGAAAATGGAAAGTGGAAAGTAGTGTTTGTCAAGGAATTTGCTTATCCTCTTGTCTGCATTTCTATTATGTTAAATTTGATATAAATTATAATAATTCAAAGCTATTTGTTCTTTAACCCAAAATATCATGGAAAAGTTATGTATTTGCATTTAAAATTTGTAATAAAAAATACAGAAAATAAATATTATAACTTTCTTTTAACTTAAATAGTTATATATATTATTGTATGATAAAATAAATTGTAAGTTGAGCAATTTTCTAGAGTAAAGTATACTTTGTGTTAAATATATTTTTTAATTATTAAATTTTAACGCAAAATTAAATTTCTTTCATATTTCAAATTTTGTATAATTTGATTTTAAAATTTAAAAATAAATAAATATAATTTTCTATATTAAACTATTTTAATTTTTTTACATATTAAATATGTTTTGATATGAGATTTGAATTGTTTATATTATTTTAACAAGTTTTAACACAAATATCAATTTAAAACACATGTCAAGCTAAAAAAAATATTATTTTTAGTTTAAATAAACTATATTAATATTTTTTAAAGTTTAAGAATTAAATATATATAAATTTTCAAACAATTGTAAATTTCAATTTCACTTTATGGAGTAAAGACAAATATATTTTCTTATGAACAGAAGCCTATTATTTACAGGGCAAGTGGTTTTTCTCTTCCTAAGAGATTCATGATCACATAAATTTTTTCCCTTATTGTTTTACTTTGGTTTCCATTGCCACCTTTTTAAAACCTTCAACCTTTTCAATCTCTCCTAGTGGTTTCCGAAGCATGTTTCTGTCGAAACATGTCTTGTCTTCCACACACAAAGCCTTATTCCAAAACTTGCGCCTTTTTTCTTTGCCTTCAAACTCGCACCACGTTCTCAGCACTCATAGCCGTTACACCCAACTACGAGAGGCCCTTCTACAAATGGCCCTTCGTGGCCATGACATGAACTTCCAAGACTATAGCACGCTCTTAAACGAGTGTGTGAGCAAAAGGGCATTTAGAGAAGGGCAGAGAGTGCATGCCCACATGATCACAACTAACTATTTTCCCTGTGTGTTCCTCAGGACAAGGCTAATCGTATTCTATGTCAAGTGCGACTCTTTGACAAATGCTCGGAACCTGTTTGATGAAATGCCGGAGCGGAATGTGGTGTCGTGGACGGCTATGATCTCGGCTTATTCTCAGAGAGGGTATGCTTCTCAAGCCTTGAGCCTTTTTGTGCAGATGCTAAGAACAGGTATTCTTGGCGTGCTTGTACTTTGTACAAGTTCGTATATGAGAGGGGTGATTATTTTTTGGTAATTGTGTTATGGAAGGAGCTAATATAGATTTTTTAATGCTTCATTATGTTTTGGTTTTATGTAGTAGAAGATGTTGTTAGGCCCAAGTTGGTAACTAAGATTCATAAAACGGAGCACTTTTTTGAGTTAAGGAGAAATTAGAGGATGAAGATGTTGTTTTAGTTAGTGAGTTGGGTTGACACTTTTGCTTGCGGGTCACTTTTGTGTCAATGGTTTTTCTGTATTGACGGTAGCTATACCTTTTTTGCAGATACAGAACCTAATGAGTTTACTTTTGCTACCGTGCTTACTTCGTGTATAGGTTCTTTGGGTTTTGTCTTAGGGAGGCAAATCCACTCTCTTATCATAAAATTGAATTACGAAGCACATGTTTATGTTGGAAGTTCGCTCCTCGATATGTATGCCAAATATGGTAAAATTCATGAAGCTCGAGGCATATTTCAATGCTTGCCTGAACGGGATGTAGTTTCTTGTACTGCCATAATCTCTGGATATGCTCAACTGGGTCTGGATCAAGAGGCGTTAGAACTATTTCGCCAGTTGCAAGATGAAGGAATGCAATCAAATTATGTTACTTATACTAGTGTTTTAACTGCACTTTCCGGGCTTGCTGCTCTAGATCATGGCATGCAAGTGCACAATCATCTTCTTCGGTCTGAAGTTCCCTCGTTTGTGGTTCTTCAAAACTCTTTAATTGACATGTACTCAAAATGTGGAAACCTCACTTACGCAAGAAGGATATTTGATACCATGCATGAGAGAACAGTTATCTCTTGGAATGCGATGCTAGTTGGGTATAGCAAACATGGAGAGGGAAGAGAAGTACTCGAGCTTTTCGATTTAATGAGAGATGAAAACAAAGTCAAACCTGACGGTGTCACAGTTTTGGCTGTGTTATCTGGTTGCAGTCATGCAGGACTGGAAGATAAGGGAATGGATATTTTTTATGATATGACCAGTGGGAAAATTGGTGTTGAGCCAGACACCAAGCACTACGGGTGTGTTGTTGATTTGCTTGGTCGTGCTGGGCGAATAGAAGAAGCTCTAGAGTTCATCAGGAAGTTGCCTTTCGAACCATCAGCTGCTATATGGGGTTGCCTTTTAGGTGCTTGCAATGTTCACTTAAATGTTGACATTGGTAAAATTGTGGGTCACCGGCTTCTAGAAATTGAGCCTGAAAATGCTGGCAATTATGTTATTCTGTCTAATCTGTATGCTTCAGCAGGAAGATGGGAAGAAGTAAGATCACTGAGGAACCTGATGTTCAAGAAGACTGTAAGAAAAGAGCCTGGAAGAAGCTGGATTGAGCTTGATCAAATACTTCACACGTTCCATGCTAGTGATTGTTCCCATCCAAGAAGAAAAGAATTATCTGCAAAAGTGCAGGAGTTATCAGTCAGGTTTAAAGAAGCGGGCTATGTTCCTGATTTGAGTTGTGTTTTACATGATGTGGATGAAGAGCAGAAGGAGAAGATACTCCTAAGTCACAGTGAAAAGTTGGCGTTGTGTTTTGGTCTAATTGCTACTCCTGAAAGTGTGACAATCCGTGTAATAAAAAACCTTCGTATTTGCGTTGATTGCCATAATTTTGCCAAGTATATCTCAAAGATTTACGGAAGGGAAGTATCTTTGAGGGATAAAAACCGGTTTCATCGAATTGTTGGAGGAAAATGTTCCTGTGGAGATTACTGGTGAGAAGATTTTGATAGAGAGTAACCAATGAACCTCTAAGGTGCTAAAAAAAAGGGCCTTCAACTTCAACCTTTAATCTGTTTTGATGTGAAATTGCCTCAAAATTTAAATGCAATTCCATCAAGAAAAAAGAGATTGGTGTTGACTGACTAGGATTGAATATTGTTTGGATTGAATAACTTACGAGTAGGATGTAATTTTAAGAGGAATCAACACGGTATACGTTAAAATGCTTCACTGATGTGAAGGTTCTACCGTAGTTAATACCTAGTCTGTTTCTATAACACACTAAAGCCACAATATATTCTTGTAGAAATTTTGTATCAAAAATAAGTTGATAATATATTAATCAAGTATTACTCTAGAGTATGATATAAATATCTTCAAGTAGTATTATTCTAGTTTCAAAAAATCACTAGAAAAATAACAGACTATTTTTTCCGTCATCTACCACTCTGGATTAATTCTAGAGTATGGTATAAATATCACATTTTAATAAATTAATTTATCATGATTAATATTTTTCTTCTTTTATTCAAAGTACTTCAACCAAAGTTTTGACAACCCATCAGTAATATATATATATATATATTCTTTAAAATTAGCAAGTATTGATTTTGGTTAATATAATTTTTTATTGGTTTTTCATTCCGCAAAAATTTAAAATAACTCTTTTTATTTCTTATAAAATAATTTTCTTTAACGTTCCTTCTTTCAAAGTTGTAAATCCGTGTCCCTAATATTTATTTAAAGATAGATGAAAAACCTTTATTTTATAAATCTTAACACAATTTTTAGGTAAAACATGTTTATATTTTATATTATAAAAATAATACACGATATTTTTTTAAATATTTTATTGAATATATAAGTATCAATGGATGTCATACAATACTAAAGATTAAATGCGATCATTTTCAATTTCAAATTCAAAACTTACTCAAATAAGTTATTATTCAAAATTTACATATTTTTCAAATATATGTTTTAATTCTAACAAAAGGTTCTATTATTTTATTTTATCCCATCTTCTATATTTGAGAATATTGTTATCTTAAATTTCAACGTATAATTTTGTTATTATTTCCGTAGTATAAATAGATAGAGAGTATAACAACCTCTGTCTATAAATACTGTGTAAAGGGCTAAAACTCTAGGCCCAATTGATAATTCGAAATCCAACCCAAACCCAAAAACGGAAACAAACTAACATCAGAAAATTCGTAGTCTCTCTCTCTCTCTCACTGTGTGACCAATCGCGGTTCAGGTCTCACTCACTCTCCCTTCCGAGAGATCAAAACCACAAAAATCAAACCCAACCCCATGCCGCCCGCGACGCCATTCGCCACCGCCTCCGCCACCATCCGCCGGCGGGTCCTCCAGTCTCTCCGAACCCGCGGCGGCGCGGAGTCTGGGCCCAGCCGGTGGACGAGCCCGGGCCACGAGGAGCGGCCCAAGGGGTACCTCTTCAACCGGACTCCCCCGCCCCCAGGCCAGGCCCGCAATTGGGAAGACTGGGAACTGCCCTGCTACATCACCAGCTTCCTCACCATCGTGATCCTGGGTGTTGGGCTCAACGCCAAGCCCGATTTGACCATCGAAACATGGGCCCACGAGAAGGCCCTTGAGCGCCTGAAGATCGAGAACGCCCTCGCCTCCAATAACGACTCCTCCGAATGAATCTGCATCAGTTCCATCTATCTATGCATCCCAC